GGGGGCAGCGGGACGGGCAGCCCCGGCTGTCACCGTGTCCGCGGGGCTGGGGCTCCCGGGGGTCCTGCCGGTGCCCCCACACAGGACTGGACTCAGGAAAGTGTCTCCAAGCTGCTCCAAGCCTTGAGTTGGCCGGGGAGGGGACAAGGGCAGCCGTCCTTGGGGGTGGGGGCAGCCAGGGAATCTCCCGGGGTCTCCTGAGATTGTCCCCAGGGCCCGCGGCCGCTCCGGGTGGCAGGGCCAGCACTGCCCCGTGTCCTGCAGCTCTGTCCCCAGCTCTGCCTCCTCCTGGCTCATACAAACCTGCACTGAGCTTTGGGAAGATGATTTGGTCTGGGAATGGGGGGGAAATCGGGTATTTTAATCAGGTATTGCAGGGAATGGGGAAGAGCAGAAAAGCAGGATTACGGGGATATTTTGGTGTTGGTGGGTACAAGGGGCAACACCTTTCCTTAACCAAGGAAACATAATCATCCATTTTAATACAGCATTTCTGAATAATCTGTTCCTGATGTACTCTGGATTTATCTGCTGGGATCAGCAGCAGGAGCACCAGCAGTGTGACCTCCCCGGGGCTGGGACATCTCCCAGCTGGGCTTCCCAGGTGCTGTGCCCTGGGTGGGTCATTCCTGGAGCCTGGTCCTGCTCCTCCAGGGGAGGAAAACCTGTCACTGGGATGAGATTTGAGAACTGGGAAGCCAGGAGGGCAGCAGAGGCATCCCAGGCAGGCAGGGCCTGTCTCTCCTCACCTTCTGCAGGGCTTGTGTTTTGGGGAGAAGGGAAGGCAGGTTTGTTCCCGCAGCATCCGCAGCCCCAGATCACATCCTGAGCTTCTCACTGATTAGATTGAGAGGAGGGAAGGAAGGATGTCTAATTGTTTAATTTCCACAATTATAAAAATATTTATAAATAATTAGAACCGATGGCAGTAATTACCCTGTGATTAGAGCTGGGCTCCACTTCATCAACGGCCCTTCAGTTCTGTCACCTGATTTATTTATTTGCACCGTAAAAAATCCATTTCCAGCGGCGCTGCTGCCAGTAATGAATCACACTCATTCACTGCCTGCAAAGGCCTCAGGAATCCAGTGAGGTTGCCTGCTATGGGATCAGTGCTGGGCAGAAAATGTGGTCGCTGGACTCAGGCAGGAGGAAATTTAATTTCAGCAGAGAGGAAACCACAGCAGGGCTGGAGATCCCAGCGTCCGTGCCGGGGCTGGTGCGGAGCTCAGCGCCGAACCCGCTGGGAACTGTTCCCTCATTGCTGTGCTTTTAAGATGAGGTTGTCCCTGTTCATAAAAGAGGGCACCTGCCCAGGGATCCCGAGGGAATCTCTGCCTTTCCAGGCACTTCCCTGCCTCGGTGGGAGCCACGGGGGCATCCCAGGGGCTGGTGCCCATCCCGTGGGAGCTGGGCTGGGCTGTGGCACCCATGGGCCTGGCTCCAGGCTGGGTGTAGGTGCCAGAAAACAGCACAAGCTCACCTGATATTTTTTTTTGCCCTGGTTCCAGTTCAGCAAAGCACTGGAAAAGATCTGTAATTTTATATAAATGAGGGGTCTTACTGGGGAAGGGCCTTTGTCTTTCAGCTCCCTGCCTTGGCTCTGCCCATGCCCTTGATGTCCTGGCTTATCCCTCCTCCATGCCCAGAGCTGCATCCCAGGATATCCCCGTGCCACCCAGCCCAGAGCACCCACAGTGCCAGCTGTAGGTTCTTGGGGACAATGACACCTGTGGCTCTTGGCCAGGCTTCAGTTTCAAGCCACTTTCCACCAAAGCACCTCCTGAACCGTGGACTGGCAATTTCCAGGGGATGGATTATCTGGAGCTGCACCCCCTGTTTCCTTGGCCCCTCAGCCCCACTCCCCCCATCCCAGGTGTGATGAGTTGTCAGGATTTGATCCCAGAGCACCTGGTTCTGCTCCTCCCTCCCACCCCACAGCTTTTCTCCTTAAATTTGCCTGGCCAGGCTGGTATATTCCAGCGTGTCTGGGAAAGCTGCAGGCTGTGCTGGTGTCCTGGGCAGCCTTGTGACTCGTTTGACTCCTGTTGATTTGAATTTGGAAGCCCAGCTTGCTTTGGGCTGGTGGAAATGTTCTGGGGTGCTGGGAGACAACATTCCCACTGGAGCAGAAGTGTCATCATCATCCTGGTGGATGTGGTTCCATGGCCATTGTGGTGGTGAGTGCTTGATGATGTGGTTGCTCCTTGTTTCTCAACTGGTTTGTTCTGGGGTGGGTAAAAGCAGCTCTGAAGGTAGAACACTGGGCTGAATCTTCCAGCTGGAAGGTGGTTGTTGTCCTTGTGTGCTGCTGGTGGAGAGGGTGGAAGACTGGAGAAGGAGATGAGAAGTTTTAAGTTCTATGTTTATCATTTGTGTGAATTCTTTACTACTGTTGAGGTGCTGGAATTGTCCTTTGTGGAAAGAGGTGAGAGCTGGTGCTGGGGACAGGTTAAAGCTGGGATTTACAGGGCTGAGCCTCCCAGGAGCACCCAGGGGTCCCACACTTCAAGGAAAGGGTGTATAAAAATGGAGTGGAGCAAAAATAAATGAGGATTTAAAGCAGTGAGGAAGGTTCCAGCAATTCCTGGTGAGATGCTCCATCTGGGGGAGGTGGAGAGCAAAGGTAGGAGGCAAAGGTGAGGTGAGAGCTGGTGCCAGGAGCTTATGGAGCCTGTGGTGTGACAGGGACACAGCCATGGGGAAGGGCCAAGGAGCAGTGAGGGAAGGTGGGGTGTGAATCAAAGATCCTGCTGCATTTGGGATGTCAGAGGCAAGGGGGGGAGCTCTGGGTGGAGGCAGAGAACTTGCACAGGGAAGGTCAGAGGGAACCATTTCACATCAGTTTGTCATGAAAGTCTGCACAGAATTAATGACACAAACTCCTCTGCAGTGCAACGTGGAAATATTTGACCTATTGTTCTACTTTTAAGTCTCATGGAAAGATTTGAGGCACTTTGAGAGCTTCCTATAGCTCCAGGTTTCAGGAGGAGGAGGGAGTCAGTGTTCGCTTTTGTCTCACCACTGCACTTAGTACCTACTGAGTGCTTCTCTTCCCAAAGGACAATTTATGCACCTGGCATTTCTGTCATTCCTCTGCCATGGAACAGGCCAAGGGACATGGGCAGCCCCTGCTGAGTCTGTCTCTGATCTGTGGAAGCCTGAGCCACACAGTGTCCAGTTGGCACTGGAGATCAGAGGCCTTGGGGCACTTTAACTGCTCATTTCAGTACATTTTATTTGTCAGTATTTAATAAGTAATGATGCTGGAAAGCTCGGAGCGTGGTCTGTGCTCCCCCCTCCTGCTGTGCTCCTGTCAAAAGGGATAAGTTAAACTGGGTTGAATCTGGTCGATTTTTGGATGAATACCCACCAAGGAATTTCTAGATGCCATAAGAAGTTGTAGTGATGGAGAAGGAGGGGCTTGTCTTGCTTGACTTAGTCCCATGTAGTGCAAAAGAGAAGGGAACAGCTCTGTGCTGGGGAGGAGCTGGGCACAGGCAGCAGCTGCTGGCAGGGAGCAGCTCCCAAGGCTTGAAAACAAGTCCTGAAAATTCTACTCACTCTGCTGTGGCCTGAGGGGGCTCAGGGAGAAGTCAGGGTGACTCGTGAAGCTCTTGGAAGTAGTAATAGAATCTTTCTCAGTCGTGCTGCAGGAGCAGCAGGGTGGGTGGTGCAGCTCCAGCAGGTACCCGTCAGCAGCAGATCCCAGAGTGGCTGCTCTGGAAAGAGCCCTTTTCCATTATCTCAGTGCTTTGGCAATTTGCATCCTGACTTGTTACTCATCCGGTGAACTTGCTGGGAATGTACAGCTTGTGTCTGAGGATCATCTGCTGCTCCAGCACCTGGGGCCAGCTCTGCCACGGGATGGGATGCAGCTGAGCGAGGCAGCAACAAGCAGGGGGAGGAGGCTCCACGGCCTCTGCACTCCCCCCCGGCTCCTTCTGGGGAGCAGTGGACAAGAAGAGAACCAGGAGAGCTGGGTCTGGCATTCTCCTGAGTGCTGGGCTCTAGACCTTGTTACTGACCCTCTCTCTTGCCGTGGAGACCTGCAGACACCCTGGAACTGGCTGCTTTTTGAGGTCCCTCCCACCCAAACCATTCTCACAAGTGCTGTTTCCAGTTCAGCACAGGGCAGGCTGGGACACTTCAGACAGAAAGAGACTGTGAAAAGCAAAGGCAAGGGCATTTAATGCTTTTAAATCACAAAGATTAAATACTTCTATTAGTATCTGCTAGAAGTTGCTCACAGAGACTCTGGCATTATGGCACATAATTCCACCACCACTCTCTGCCACCTCTCCCTGAATTGTTTACAGCTCCTTTATGTTCTCTGAGCAAACTGCAGCTCAAAGCTGTGGTGTGTCTGGTGTCACCACCAAGAAACAGACTCTTGGCACTCTCAGCCACGTGGCAAATGTCCTTTTCCCTGAATTATTTCACCTTGTGTGAACATTTTGTTTTAGGCACCATTTTTACAGTCTCAAGTGGTCTCTGAATACAGAAAACCTGGAGGTGCATGAATGGAGGATGTTTTGCAGTTGTTCAACAGGAATGTGGAATTCCAGAACCAGCAGCTAAAAATGAAAAGAACATCACAAAACCAGCAAAGCTTGTTCTGCTCCCACAGCTGCTCTTCAGTTTCCAGGGTCTCACTGCTCCATTAACAGTGTCTTGCTCCATACTTCCTGACTTCAGGCTTTGCACAGACCTGGCAGGTCACGTCGTTGTTAGGACTATAAGTTCCAGGCTCACAAACAACTGTGAATAGAACAGAGTTGGAGTCTTAGCCCCCCCACACCCCTCCATGGGCCTTCCCAGAGCTCATTCTTCCCAAGCTCCTGGGTTGCCCCTCGTTACAACCCCCAGCTCCAGCACTGGCAGGAGGTGCTGCTGGCAAAGAGCCTTTTGGCACAACTGAGTGTTCCAGCAGCTCTGCCATTATGGTGACTTTCTAATTTGCTCTGTATCCTGAGCAGAGTCACTCACCAGTGACCTGGAAGGAAAAAAAACCAACACTTCACCACTTCTAATCACTCCATCTGGAGACACCAACAAGCACCACCAGCTCGTTCCTATCAGTGCTTTTAAATCTGTGATGTGATTGTCTTTCCAAAAGCAGAATGGAAACACCTTTGCCTGACACTGATCCTTTACTGACCTCTCCCCAGAGAAACCTGGGACCAGATCAAATCCTGTGCTTGGTCCTTACCACAGCAGCTGGCACAGAGCCTGTGGGTGAGGTTGTTCTTCCCAAAACCTGGTCGACAGCTGTCGATGGGAAACACTGAGAAACTCTTGTCCACGTAGTGAATGGAAGGAACAGATTCAAACTCCTCCAGAACAGATGTCATCTTCTTGAAAACCTCTTGAATTCGATCTCTTGCCTAAAATCCAGAAACATTAGAAGAATAAAACAATCAGCTGGTTCTTCTTGGGCTTGAAAATGTCAGTGAATACCTTGTTGTCCTGATTCCCCATTTGTCACCTTAACTGGGAGTTGTCCTTGGGGCCCAGGGGGGCTCAGACCAGCCCCAGGTACAACCTGATTGCATTTATTAACATCCAGAAGTCAGAGAGAAGAGATTTAGGCTAAATTGTATTAAATTTATCAACTCATAAATAAGAGATTTAATTTGGAGAACTGGAGGGTCAGTAAACTGATGGAAATATTCATGTTTACAATTATTTACTCCTAGAGGTAAATATAAAGGAAATAATAAGCCTGATTATTTTTTTTTTAAACTGTTTGGATCAGTTTGACCTTTAAAAACAGCTTTCCATCCTGAAGGGAATTATTTGAAATCCATGAGTTGTCATTTATAATGACATTCATCCCACCAAATCAGGGGAAGCTGGATTACTGGATTACTCCCCATCTGCAGCTGCCGTGGCAGGGATGACCCTGGGGTGGCTGAGACAAACCTTGTGAACTCTCATGTTTGTCACATCTTGACAATCAGAGGGGCCCTGGTGGCAAACTTCTTCCCATCCTGGTGCAAAAGGGTTGACTGTGGGTGGGGGGAGAAAGAGACACGTGGTGAAGAACAAACCACACTGAGCTCAGTCCCTCCAGCAGGTACTTGCAGGGTCACTTCAGAGACACCAATAAATCCCATTCTGCTTTCAGGACCTCCCTGTGCTCATCCTACTCTCTTTGTTTTGCCTCTAATTTGTGAAGAATGGGTGGGTTGTTTTCTTTCACTTGTCACTTTCTGTGATCAAGATCATGTTTTGCAAAAGTTCTGGTTGGGTGTTTTTTGGATGATGAAAAATGAGTGAGTGACAAAAGGGGGAGAAACCCTCCCAGGTTTGGTCCTGGTGGTTTCTCTCCAGTTACTTAAATCACTTTATTCCAGTAAGAGTCAGAGGTCAAGGCATAAAATAAGGGGGAAACTGGATGCTGAGCTGGCAGGGAGAAGGGAACCACATTCTCACATGGCACCCTCAGGTTAGGATTAAAGTTTTATGTCAACTTAAAACCTTTGGGTCCTCAGTTTGCTCTGAATTATTTGTGACTTTACTGAGGGGGGAAAAAGGCCACAAAACTGTTCCACAACCTGTTGGATGGTTCCCTCTTGGCACATGATGAGAAGAGATACAGGAGAGAATGTGATCAAAGTGTTAATGAGTAATTTCCTTCCCTCAGTGATAAACCAGCTCTAAATTAGGGCCACCTGGGTGGATTGAAGGTGTTTGTCAAGGCCACACCAGTGTTACCAAAAGGGACCTCATGAGGCTCTTGCTTTTAATGAGCAGTTTCCTAGAATTAAGCAAAACCACAGAGGTCACAGACTCATTAAGAAATAAAATAATGGCCAAAAAAATGAATAATTTTCCTTTTGCAGTTACAGTCATGACAAAAATGTGGCATCTTCTCTGCTGTCTCCTCCTGAGTGAGCACCACAAAGTAACATTTCTCCCTCAGGTTGCACCAGGTCCAGTCCTGCAAACTCAACATATAAACTGCATTTTAGCTCCATCTGTGGGCTAGTAAGAAAAAATACAGGGACTCTGAAAGAAAGCAGGGAAACCACCTGCAGAGGTGCACTTCCCTCTTGTTTACGGTGCTCTCAGGTTGTTTATAAAAATAAATGATCCCTCCCCAAGGGCCCCAGAGCTCTGTTACCTTGGAAGCTGACAAAGAGCTCGTGATGGAAACCTCGTTCTGGTGTCCTGATGTGGTGGCATCTGTAGGATGACTGTGAGAGGTGACAGGTCAAGTCAGAGATCAGGTCGTTTAACATTTTCTTCAGCTTCTCAAAGAACTCCTCGTTGGCTTCCAGCTCACAGGTCTTGGTCATGAAGTGAGCAAAGCCCTGGTAGGTGTGGTCAGCTTCCCTGTAGGCTTGAAGAAAAGGGTTTGTGTGAGTTCTGGAGGGTAATCACCAGTGGGATCTGCAGAAACTGATCATCTCCATGGTGTCCTTTGTGTCTGAGATACAGGCTTTTGTGCAAAAGTAAACAAATAAATAACTCTCATGAAACAGAAGAGAATAAATCTGAACTTGCCAGGGCTGGCTCAAACAGCCAGGGATGTTGGAGTTGGAAGTGTAGAGGAACGGATGTGTTTGTGTTGGGAGGATCTGCTCCCGGGGGCTACACCAAAAAAAAGGGGCAAACAGTGAAATAACAGAGCCCTGGCAGGTCTGGGAAGGTGTGGAGCTGCCACGGGCTGGGGCTGTGCAGAAACACTCTGTGCCATTCCAGTGTGGATGGTTCCTGGAAGGATTGTAGGAGTCAGAGCTCCTCTGGAGGGTCTGGGATGTTGTTTTGCAGGTGGGGGGGATATTGGAAGGGGCTCAGGTGCTGCAGGGGGCTCCTTCTGCACCAGCTGATGTTCCCTTTGGGAATCTCTGTCTCAGGAGCTTCCTCTCAGACTCTGGATATAACTGGAATTGTTGGAGTTCACTTTGTTCTGAAGGGCAGAGATTAGTTTATTTTATTCTCTGAGTTGCTGTATATTTTTGGCAGCAGCTGCTTAAAACCTTTCCCATAACTGGGGGGGGGGGGGCTCACATGTACAAATTTTCTATTCTGGGATAAAATGTTAACTGGCTTTGTTATCAAGCCTTCACAAACCCACCCAACCACAAAGGCCACGAGCATGAGGGTCCCAGTAAGTCACCCCTCTTACCATATACCATAAATCTGTATCTCTCAGCCTTTTCTCTTTCTTCTTGTCTTATAGTTGGCAAGATTTTGTGAAAAAGAGTGCAAGTGTAGGCCCCAGACATTGACTCCTTGAAGTCTATCAGAACCAGCTTCCCTGTTCCTTCAACTTCCACATGTTTTTTCTCTAGAACAGGAACAGGAAACACTTGGTGACTGGAGATGCTGTTCCTGATGCTCATGGAGAAGCCTGGGAGATCAGATATTGCTCCTGCCCAACGTGACACTGGTTTGTCTGAAGTCTAGAATTGATGACCTTCAGGACTCATTTCAAGTCTCCTTCAACCTCAAGCATTTGAGAACATTAGAGGGAGAAGAGAAACCTCCTGTCAGGTCAGAGCTTGTGGGAAAATGTGACAAAGGGCCAAGTGACTATTTGGACCCACTGCCCTGCTGCAGGGTGGTACCCACAGAAACCAGGCACATATGTGATTTCATGCCCACTGATCTACTCAGCCACTTGTGGTTGACTTTTTTCCCTTGTAAATAGAAAAGAGAGAAACTGTTTCTCCATCTCAGCATATTTTCCTGATTCCTCCCCCCTCACCTGATTCCTCCCCCACCCCCGGGGCTGCTGCTAAATTTGTGAAGAAGTTGCTGGTGACGGGGGGGAAAGTGGTGAAGGGAGGGAGGGTGGAAATCCTTTCTAGCCCAGACAAGGTGACTGACCTTCTAACTTATTTCCATTTGGACCAGTCCAGACGTACTTGGGATCTATCAGCTCTTTCTGAGAAAGAGCCAAATCCATACACACCAGAACTGGGCTGTTGGAGTAGACCTTGACATACACGTTCACTGCAATGCAAGGCACTAAGGTAAGTGATGGGAATTGCTTATATTGAGCCAAATCACCCACATACTCATTTCAAAACACCTATTTAATGTCATGCAGAGTTTGTTTTTCATGCATGGCCCTGAAAAGTGCAAGGTTCATCTTTTATTAATATGACAGAACTGTCCCCAGTGTGGTTGGTGCTGACTGTGTAGGGGACACTCAGGTTGTGTCACAACAGCAGCTCTGGAGCTTTTTGCAGAGTGGGACTGTTATTGAAATGTTCAGAAGTGCTTTAAAGTAGCACTGTGGGACAAATCTATCTTTGAACACCCCCCTTCCTGTGCACTATCCAGATCATGTTCTAGGATCTCCAGCACTGACCAGCTGAGCTGGGTTGTGTCACTCTCATGTGTAGCAGGGTCTACACCAGGATCACTGTGCTTAAAACTCCATTTTAAAAGTCTAGTAAGACCTCTATATGTATATATATAACAGACAGGTTTACCTTCATGTTTGCTGTCCCCATAAATGTAGTTGTGTCTCATCAGATCAATGGGATATTCCTGTTCCTGAGGCACAGCTCTCACTGCAGGGAAAAGGGCTCAGATTTAATGGAGAGAATTAGAAATGTGTAACTGTCACCCTGGTTATTTTGTTCCAATGAGTTTGTTTTCCAATGAGCCTCTTTCTTTCTCCCCACACCTTCTGCTTAAAACCAAGGGCCTCCCACTTGTTGCTGGGTTTTGTTGCTTTAGTGCCCAGGTTGCAAATCTGCCTTGATCCACCAGGTCCTAACCCAGCTCAGCCTTTCTCTTTGCAGAAAGCCAGTAAACCAGTTACAAAATCTAACTGGAAAGCTCAGGCTCCTCACACTGACCCTGGGGAGAACCGGGATGGGGCAGCAGGGAGGCTGGGGGAGGGTGCTGAGCCTTCAGGCCTCTGCCTGTTGGGAATCAGTGTGAAGTGCCCGGGCACGAGGGTTCCTGCTGTGAGAGCTGGAAACTGTCACCGCAGCTCCTGGTCTCGGCTGTTTCTCCAGCCCGAGGTGCGGGGCTGGGCACCCCCACCTGCCCTTCGGGGAAGGGATTTCCCGTCCTCTGCCGACGGGCACGTCCTGCAGAGCACAACTGCCCCCCGAGGGGTGCCCGGGGCAGGGGGAGCCCC